TGTCCCGGCAAAAAAACCCTTTTATTAATTGATTGTGAATTCTGCTCATTCACAGCCGGCAAAGTCTTTCAAAGGAGGATTTATGGTCACAGACCTTATCTGGCTTGGAGAGCTGCTAGGCTGATTTCTGCAGAACTTGGCAAGGCGTCTCGGAGAGTCACAAATCAATGAAGCGAACTAATTGTCTCCTGCAAACTCCACTCCCCTGTCGCTCCTCTTTTATTTCCTCTGGGAGGGGCCATTCACCGTCCACCTTTGGCCTTCCTCCTGAGTCGACCCTGTTCTTCAGCTGTTCCCTTCGTCTGGCAGCTCTGTGCATGTGCACACTGGGAACAGGCTCCAGCTGTTTGTCTGCCTCACTGATGTCTGACCTTGGAAGGCAGCTGATAACTGTCAGACGGCCCTGGCCCCCTCTCTGCCTCCGACGCAGAGCCCTCCTCAGAGCCTTCCCCAGACTCCAGGACTGGTCCAGGTTCCTCCCCAACCTCCTCACCGTCCAAATCTGCTGCCAGCTCCACTGGTGGGCCACAACAGAAATATAGGAGGTTTGGGAGGATGGCTGTTAACCTAAACATGGATTCCTTCTCTTGGAATGTCAGATATTATTTTTTTTTAATTTTCACCAAAGGATGGAAGGCAACACATACGTGATGTACTTGGCTCTCTGCACAGCTTGAAATTGTTCTTCCTGATTGCCATGGGAAACAAGTGAGAAATAGTAAACCCTTCTCTCCTAGCAGAGCAATTGTCCCTAGCCATTCACAGGGCTACATTTCTAAGACATATCAGCACGCGCTGCTATTGCTCAAACGTGGAATATGGAACGGGAACAAATGGAAATGTTTTGGATGACAAAGATCCTTGTGGTTTAATAACTTCTATACAGAATACAGGGGTTGGAAGGGATCTTAGAGGTCTTCTAGTCCAACCCCCTGCTCAGGCAGGAAAAACTATATGATTTCAGACAAATGGTTGTCTAATCTCTTCTTTAAGAACTTCCAGTGTTGGAGCATTCACAAGTTCCGGAGGCAAGCTGTTCTACTGGTTAATTGTCCTCACAGTCAGGAAATTTCTCCTTAGTTCTAGGTTGCTTGCCTCCTTGGTTAGTTTCCATCCATTGCTTATTATCCTGTGTTTTTTTGAAAATAGGTTGAGCCCCTTCTCTTTGTAACAGTCCCTCAAATATTGGAAGACTGCTATCATGTCTCCCCTAGTCCTTCTTTTCCTTAAACTAGCCATGCCCAGTTCCTGCAACCGTTCTTCATCTGTTTTAGCCTCCAGTCCCCTAATCATCTTCGTTGCTCTTCTCTGCACTCTTTCGATCTCAATCTTTTTTATAATATGGTGACCAAAACTGGATGCGGTATTCCAAGTGTGGCCTTACCAAGGCATTATAAAGTGCTACTAAGACTTTACGTTATCTTGATTCTATCCCTCTGTTTATGTGGCCTAGAACTGTGTTGGCTTTTTTGGCAGCTGCTGCACACAGCTGGCTCCTATTTAAGTGGTCATCCATTAGGATTCCAAGATCCCTCTCACAGTTACTACTATGTGAGAGAGGAGGACTAGAAAAGAGGAGAGGAAAAAGAGGAGGGAGGAA